CTATTTAAATTTTTGCTTCCCTACTACCTCAATCATTTATTTTCTCCTGGTACGAGTGAAATTCGTGTTTTTTTTTTCAGGAATTTTCTGTTCTATTCTATTCTACAGCTCTGTATACAGGGTGTGGGACAGCAAAGAGAAGGACGCGATTACAGCTGACATGGCAATTAATAAGGGCAGATGGCGATTGAGCACGAGTCACCCGCTCGACCGGTATTAATCATAGCCATGTGACGATATTACGTGTCAAATAAACGGTTGCTATTTATATTTAAAAAATAATATGTGATATAGGCAGGGTGACTACAGATTTTATCTTGATATTATTATGAATAGCAACAGTCGAAGTTTAAAGTAAACATCATGAATTCAAATCTGGCTAATACCAAAAAAACTTTGTAAATCAATATTTCTAAATCTCTCACAAATACAAAAGTGAATCAGCAAAACAGTAGTCGACTCCTTGCCGATATCTAGTGTTGCATTTATAATGACGTCTATAAATAACAATGCCTCTGATCATCCCATTCGGGATAAAGGCTGTGTGGTAATACCATATATAAATAACGGATTTCTTCACTTAAAAGAACAGCAAGAAAAATTATATATAGTGATTTAAATATAGGTATATTTAAAATTTATTATGTATTTCTCGAATAATATAAAAATGATGTATTTGTATCTCTTAAAATATTTCCATTCTTGCCACTACAAAACGTTATAAAACTGACTGTACTATGAGACCTGTCTTAATTTTAACTATTTCTATTTAGTGTCACCATTATATGTTTTGAGTGTTCATTACTTAATTCATTACATAACTTAGCAATAGAAACTGTTTATGTAATTGATGTTCGCCACCTGCTGGTTATCAGTCAATCTCCGCAATGTAATAAATAATAACATTATACTCGCGCAATTGTTGTTGTCATAATATCTAAATAGAAAACTTAGTACGACATCAAAAATTATCTGTACTGTCTAAGTTTCATATACAAGTATATAAAATTATTCACGAAGAGTTCAAATGACTAATTTTACAAAAAATACAATATTGTTATCAGGAAAGTAGATTCTTCTCTGACAACTAAACATTAGTTGCCTAACTATAAATGTTTATCATTAACTGTAACTCATGTCTTAATTTCTCTGTACAATGTAAAATTCTGTCGCTTCATGTATCATATGAGAAGTCTAGTGTGAATAATTCATACAATACATTCATAGATGACATATCTATATATGTATAATTCATCTATAAATTATTTTTTAATTTGAATAAGAGTCAATTGATGTGTTAGTCTTGTTAATTACAATTATAATTCGGCAAAAACATTTCGCTTCTTGAGTAAACAGCAATCATAAATTAATTTGGCACAAAATTTGGCTACTATTACGAGTTATATGACTACACACACTATACCAACATATCCCAATACTGTACCACTAATTAAAACCAAATATTTATGTTGTAATATATTATTAAAACTTGGAATTGCTAAAACAAAGTTAACAGTTAAAACTGTAAGATATAGTTCGTCTTAAAGTGAAAAGTTACTAGAATTATAAAACACCTACAATCTGTGATTCAAATCAACTTTATCATCCGAGAAGGCAACAAACCGTGTGTAGGAGCGTCTCACCAAGTTTCCTGCTCGCAGCACCTGCTACGTTCCCACAAATTGTACCCAGTTCCAACTTCAAGTCGCCAACTTGCCCTTCTTCAGTTCATAATTAATTCTTCATTCCAAACAACTTGTGCCTGGACAGGAACGGGCCGCATAAGCATTTAAATAGTCCAAATTGTGAGGACGCGCCCATTTTTAATTACTTCAAGAGCTTTTTAATTGTTAATGACCGTTCAACTTCTGCAGTTGTCAAATGAATAAGTTGCGAAAATTTAATTGGGACACGACCCTAGTTTCTTTTTAATAACTTCATATCGAGTTATATAACCTAATCTTATTGAATATTACCTAAATTTAAATAATAAAATAACGTATATTTCGTTCAATTTTATTGTACTATGTGTTTAAAAGGGTAACAAATGAAAGTATATTATTATTACTTATTTCATAGTTAATAAGAAAAAGTATAGCTAGTGAATAATGATCAGGTCTACCTATATCTTAGCTTCACACTGTATCTATTGTCAGACAGTAGGTATAGGGATAGAATTCCCTAGGGATCTGGCATAAATATACTAGCAACTTAATGAATAGGGAAATATAGATAGCTGGCTTTGTTTATTATTTAATGAATGAACGACATTTAATTGTATTTGGTAAGTTCTTCAATTTAAGGTACCTACTCGAAATTATGTCAAGGTAAATCGTTTACAAATACCTTTGCAGACATTGCAGAAATACTCTTCGTATTGCTCTCTCGCAACGTGAGATGAAGTCTCGAAAAATGTTAACTTTCATGGTTCTGCAATTTGTTTGTGAAATAATTCTGGAACCATTTCAATTACTTTTTGTATTAAATTTTAAGTACGTAATTTCAGTAGTAATGATTTCGTACATTATTGATTGACATAATTGCCAGTTTCTAAGAAAGAAAGAACTATTACAGACTGATCGTTTATTGTTTTAATTGCAAATTTTATTTCTTACAAATGAGTTTTTGCTTGGATTCTAAGATATTTGTATATGATATGCCTAATAAAATTTATATCTTTTATAATTCGGATTAACTTGAAAATTCCTAAATATGTCAGAATTTTAATTCATTATTGACATTGCTACATAAATTACATGTATATGATTTCTAGTACGAATTATTTTAAAAACAATTAACCATCTCAATTTGACAGAAAACAGTTTCGTCTCTTTCGTCTCTTTTAGTTTCAAAATGAATAATTAACATCCTGTGGATATATTATTATTACTATTATAAAGTTAATTCCAGCTAACCTACACTTATTATTCACTATGAGAAGACTACTTACTTTGCCTGATATCTCTAAAAGTTTCAAGTAAATTTACAGCAAATACGGGAATCAACTTTATTTAGGAATCACCTGAACTAGGTCACGGAAACATTTAAAACTAAAAATATTTCTCATTTTTAAACGTAAAAAGGTTATAAATTCATTTATTATTATTAAGCAAAACCCAGCAACGGCATGACTTGATTCTTTAGACATTGACAGGTTAAAGGATAAAATTGTATCGTCTTTGAATAAACAAACACCATAAATCTTATTTTACTAAAGTTAATAGATTTACCGACATATTCACTGCCAGAAAATGAAATTGTTTAATGCTTTTTAGTAGCTATGGATGTATTGAAAAAATATAAAATCATTCAGGATTTTATATTTTTTATGTCTTTCTATCTAAAAGAAATAATTGCTTTTACAGTTTAGTTCCATTTAAACAGCTTTATAAAAATTAACATACAAAAAATATACTTGTGAACGAAGGACTGTATATATATGGGGCTGGTAAATATAATTATGCAAACACGGGTTTTAGGAAGCAATACTATAATATTATGTACAAAAGTATAATAATTAACAGAACAAGAATGACAATGTCATATACATTTTTCTATATAAAATAATAGACAAAATACATAAATAATATACAAAGAGGTGCGTCGTGCACATAGTCTAAAGATCAAAAGAACAAGAGTCTTCAATTTAGTGAACTAAACTAAACAGCTTTCATACTAGAACAATGACAAAACAATAATACTAAAAGAAAAGTAAATGAATCATTATACATAAAGAAAAATTATATGAAGTACGAACTATGACATCACTGTCGGCACTAACTTATTTAAAGAACGTTTTAGTGTTTCTTCAACTGCTTGAACATCCTTGTTTGAACATCAGCCAATTCTTCAGGGAAAAAGTAACCACACGTCACCGGGGCCATCTACCTCGGGGAAAGCTTCCATCGGCTATTATAAGAATGTCTCCAATAGTGGTAGTTCAATCTGAGTTTGAGTTTGAATGACGAGATAATAGTCTTGGGAAGCACTCTCTCACCCATCAACTCCAAAGCTTAAGCATACTGTAATCCTCCAGTTATCGTGTGAAATGAAATCGCAATCTCTGTCGGACTGACAAGAAACTCCTTCAAAAATGTAAGTGCATGGACAAAAATCTGTTGATAAGGCTGTCCACCTCCGCTAATGTTGTAATGATCACTACCTTTGGAGTTCCTTATCGCTCTCTTGCCTTCATAACTCAGAGAACCATCTGTATGTATCTACTAATATGTTCTCTATCTAAAACAAGAGGAAACTTGACTTCGTCGCTGACATCTAAGACAAATACCATACGAGCAGTGTAGTTTGTCAGGACCATTCTGTGGAGATAATACAGTTAACTTTGAGGTTTATGAAGCCAGTGGTCAGCAACACAAGCAATCTTATCACTAAAGGCATCTTCTTGAATATTGAATATGACGTATATCTCAGATATATTGAAATCTTCAACCATCAGGGTATTTCAAATATAAGACGTTAACGCGCGAAGTTAGTGCCGTTACATTAATAAAAATATCTATAAACGACAGAAAATACAATAATTTAATTTAATTAATTTAGATGTATCAAGTATTTTAAAAGTATAAATTGTAAACATAAACTACGCAGTCGCAATATAAAAAAATCAATTTATACGCAATTGCGGTTATAATTAATGTTGTAAACTATCAACTAAAATGTTCTGGCACAGATGAGTGACAAATGTAAATGTGAAAAATTGATGAACGTTGGCATTAATGCAGCTATGTACTTTAATTTTAGTTCAAATAGTTCTATTAAAGTAATGAAGATAAGTATTGTCAGTCAATAAACTCGTCCCTGGGAGTCATAATAAACCAAGTGCATGTACTGGTGCGCTAACTACTTCTACATGAAACTCATCTAATGATTGATTAAAGCACAAATACTTTGATATCAGTGACAGCACGCTTGGTTCATCAAATATCTCAAAATTAACCTCCCAATATGTATGAATAACAGCTAGTAATCGAGTAAATCTCTTAACAGACTCTATACCTACTCGTAATGTAGTTGTCTATATAATGATCATGAAAGATGACGTGTGTGACTCTAGGAAACTTATAACGAGATTTATTATTAATTAACAAATCCGTGAACGGACTCGATGCAGCGCCATATATCATTGAAGACATAAGATATGTTTTCAATGGTTCTTTAGAACTGTCTCTCCAAGTAAAACGTTGCGCATCACAATATACGTTGTGGATTTTAACCTGAGGATATATTGCTTTAATGTCATCGTTAATTATGACACTCTCCTCGTAAAAACGATTTACAATATTAAGAAAAGATTTCAAGAAATCTGGTTCACGCAAAGGTAACTTATTTGAACTAACTCCTAATTTGGCGACTGCATTATTGACAACTCGTAACTTGTCACTACCTAAATCGTAATCACATACATTATTTACAAAATGAACAGCATTTGTTCTATTCGCTACAAACCCGAAAAGAACCCACCCTAGTACCGTAAGAATGGCAACAGGTTGAGAACTAGTTCCCTGTCTTACTGCCATGGGAACAGACAAATTCCAATTATCTATACCGATTATAATGGTAGGTTTGGCATTATAACATAATTCGTCAGCTATATCTAACAAATATGGAAATGCAAGAACATCACTCTTATTGACATTTCGATTCGCCAGTCCGAGGTTACTAATAGATCTAGCTTGTTTGATGACAAAGGAATCAGCAGATCTCTTTCCTTTTATTTGAAAGTCAACATACTCGACTTGCGACTGTTTTGATAAGCCACCAACACACTGCAGTTCAATTTGTTCTACTGTACCCGTTACTCCAATCTGAGAGGTAATTTCTGAGTCAATGAAGGTAGCCGTGGACCCGTCATCCAGTAACGCGAAAGTATCAACAGAACCCGCGGGACCAGATACTGTGACAGCGACAACCTTTAGTAATGGCCTACAAGAAGTAGTGGTACTAACAGAAGACGTCTGTGTTACCAATTCCGACGGAGACTGCTCTGCATTACCATTACCTGCATGTGACATTGGCCGACTTGACTCTTCAGATACCTGTATATTAGCTGCTGAATTAATAAAATTTGGATTATGAAGTAACTTGTGATGTTTATGTGTGCAACCGGCTTTATTGCAAAGTCCTTTAGTACGACAAGTATTATAATTATGTGAACCTCTTTTTAAACATTTCTGGCATAATTTATTTTCTTTAACGAAATGCCATTTATTATGAACTGTCAATGCCAAAAACTTATTACAATTGACTAATGCGTGAAATCCTTTACAATATGTACAAATTTGTTTTGATGAATTTTTTAATGAATTTTCAGCCGTTGTAAAAGATGTTTCAATACAGGAACCCGTCTCGGATGTTTGTGATGACTGCTCCAGCAAATCATATATTTCTGCGGCATTTACATGTTCCGGTTTTTTATGCCTGTCAATATTGGAAGTTGTGTTAAAACTAAAGTAATCCGTGACACCAAATTTAGCCTGAATCTCAACCTCACGACATAAAAATTCAGCGAGCATTTCTAGCTTGTTTTGACCACTATATTCATGAGAAATAGCAAAATCATACCATCTACTTTTTAACACAATAGGTAGTTTTAATAATAATGTATTAAACAATTCAGGTGATTTTATATAGCCACCGCCATCTAATAAGCGTAGAGTCTCTACACAATTACGAACTTTACTAGCAAATGTTGATAGATCTTTATCGTTACCTAACCTCGGCAACGATCTCACTGAATAAAGTTCTTGTAATAT